AGTTTTGGTGACATTTGAGTTAGCTTTCAAAGTTACGTTTGTTAATATCGATATTATCATCAAGGGGCCAATTAATTTATATTCCAGGCTTCACGAAATAAGTAATCACTGGTAAAACACAGGCTAATTAAGACTTTTTAACTAAAAGCCAATTTACCAGAATTACAATTCGTACTAGTACATAGCTTTCACATGAGTTGTGAGTGCACAATATAATACATACATTGAGCCTTAACTCCTCAATCAGGGGCTCAGAAAACAAGGGGTTCCGACACCATTTCAGTCAGCAACCTTTCGACTACATGAACATACTAGCTTTTAATCAAATAGTAATCACATAATGTAATTCATACATTACAGTGTGTATCACTTGATTGCTTGGAAAGCAGTGATAGTTACTTCCTTTCAGTCATCAGGTGCTCAACTTAATAATTGCTCTATCTTTTAATAATCAGTCCAACCCAAGTTGATTGGGATGCCTGTGTTGGCATCTTATCTGCCAATTAGAGCTGGTAGTTGCTTTCATCTCCAGTGATACCTTATCTGGTTGATCAAGGACCACCAGATAAGTCTCTACAGCACTTCTTCCTCGTCATGTAGGTTGAAATGACTCGAGACAGTGTCCCCATTCTTCTGTGAACTCATCAGTGTCCTCTTCAGACTTCTCGTCAAGTCAGTGTATGAAAGGCTAATCTGTGACTATGTACACAGCTTATCGACGTGTTCCACATGCTTTTACACACCTTGTAATTGCTGTTACTCATATGTTAGAGGAAGTTCTTGTCAGAATATCTGACATGGACCATTCCAACTGAACCTGAGCTGCTTTCGTGCCACTAGCAAATCTCAAGTCCACAACCAGTTGCTTTATTGGTGTATCTGTTATTTCACTGTCCAATCAAAGCACTTCCTCTGTCAATGTGCTGCCTCCCTGAATGGTTCTTGGGTAAATAAGTGTGTACTTACCATTGTTATTCTCAGCCACTCTGCATATTCTTGGGGACACTGAAGAACTTCTCCCTGTTATGGAGGGCCCTACACCATGTCTACAGGTAGTACTACTTCCGACCTGAACAAGAGCAGATTTGGCAAACAGCCTATTGATTCCTGTTCTGTTTGTTATGTATGTCTGTGATAATCACTTATGGAAAATGTTCATTCCAGTTAGTTCTGTATAGATTAACAAACTTTGCAAGCATCTGCTTGGTAGTCTGTATTACTTATTCTGTCGAAGCATTAGATTGAAGATGATAGGTTGAAATGTGAATATTCACTATATTTAACAATTTACACAACTCAGCTCCCAGTTTCATGTGCTATGCAGTTTCCAGCTAACACAAATGTGATAGACTGTGTTAGCATAACAACCAATGGATAAGCTTCCTACCACTTCAGAAAGTAGTTTACAGCGATGAGTATGTATCAATAACCTCTTGCAATCTCTAAAAGTGGGCCAGTGATATTTAGGGCTGTCTACTGCAGAGGAGAACCAACAATTCTCTGTGGGAGTTTATCTTTTCTCAGTTATTTTATTTCTCTTGGTTGCACACACCAGCGCTGAACATCTTGACTCACTCATGGTCAACAGAACTGACAAGTCTGGAGTATTTCTTGTCACAGTTCCCTGTGGACCACTAGCTGCAGCACTGTTGGAGAACTATGACACAGCACACTTCTTGCACGTCTAATTGCTTATACAATTACTATTTGCTATATGTTCCCCTACTAATGCTAGTTGAACTTGGCCTTGCTGGACAGCAAGAAGCATCCATACTATATTATTATAGAATTAATGTTGAAATCCATCTACCAGTGGAGTCTTCTAATTTATGGTTTGCATTCACTATGGCTGAAACGACCAAGATTTTAACTCCTGCACAGTATTCATGTTCAGAACAATCCACGACAAGATGTCACCATTCTGCGAGATAGTCCAATCATTTTTCGTGTTAATGCTATAAATAAACGACCTTAAACACCAAAGCTTTGTACTGTCAGTTATGGTTTGTGTTTTAGTGGAATTCTCCTGAAGAAGTTATAAAGCGAAACGTTGAGGTTTCAATTAAAGAAAAACAACAAACTGGTGTTATAAGGTCGTTTATTTCTGGTATTAAAATGTCTTCTAGACACCAATATGCACTACAGAAATTAAATAACATGTTTTCGTGTTGCAGGCCTGGGCAGTGAGCTATGATGAAGTCATATTCGTGCAATATCATTATACAATGTAGTATCATCCCCTCTGGGTTTTTAAATTCATAACAAGTTTAATGAAATGTGGTCCACCCAAATGGTGAACTTCCTCCCTCACATGTATAGGTGATAAAAGTTTATGAAGACAACCACTGCAAACAGCTCTTTCTTCATCCTACAGTATCTGTATTTTGGGAGCTGTGAGCATATGTAATTGCATATTCCACTCCAATATTTAACTGCAGTTACACTGCTCGTGAGAACCGACAATGGTGCTACTATCTTCGCGAAGCTGGCTACAAATATTCGGAAGAATGACGCAAAACCAAAAAGACTCCGATCTTATTTCTTCATAATGAGTGAAAACCAACCTCTCAATCCAGCTATCTTAGCTGGGTCCGTCGAAACTCCATCTCTCTTCACAGTGTGACAGAGAAACTTCACTTCTGTTTCCATGAGGGAACACTTTCTTGGTTTTAGTTTCAAGCTTGCTTTTCGTATGTGGTGAAATACTATCTTCAGGGTTTCAACCACGAACCTGAAGGTGCAGTTAACATTAAAACATCATTGACATAGACTAGACATCTCTCGCATTTCAGTCCCTTTACTGTAAGCTCCACCAGCTGCTCAAAAGCAGCTGTTGTATGTGGAATTCATACAAGCGAATCTTGCACTAAAAGCAGTCTTAAGCCTGCTTTCGTTGCCTGCTCAACTTTCCAGTATCCAGATACCAGATCTAGGGTGATTTCAGGTATGTAAGACATTTGTGATATAACGTCAACTTTATTAATCATCTAGATAGTTTAGAAACTACTACCTCAGATAGTAGAATAAAGTGGTAGTTTATCTTTTTAGACGTTTTAGTTAAAAGAAGTGGAAAAGTTAGACTGCAATTTATCATAAACATTTCTTTGTGATCATGCTATCAAATCAACAATCGTTTCATACAAAAGTTTAAACAAAATTAGCTTTCTATTTCTATGAGATATATAGAACTACAAAATTATATTCTAAACAAGTTAGATCATGAAATACTAATGTTGAAACATGTAACAGTTGACAAAGTTCTTTTTTATCCAGGTATCATTGATAGAGCAGTTAAGAAACTTATGAAACAGATTAATGATAACAATAATTTGATTAAAGCATTTGAGAAAACTAAAAACTAGCTGGCGTAGTATGCTGTAAAAACATGTAGGTTAAGATGTCACAGGGTTGAAGAGAGGGTATAAACAGTATAATATACTGTTGAATATTCTTGTGATCTGCACTCCAGAAGATGACGTGTTGTGAAGCATCGAAACATGTAAGGTGTATCTGAGACTTCAGATGAGCTTCAAATAAAATTATATTTATTGTGTAAACCAAAAAAGGTTGTTCTTATTAACTGTATTATTTATTTGTGACTTTACAAAAAATCCAAGAAGAAGTTCATAAGGTTCATAAATGTTACACAATACTTTTTTCTAATTATAATTTGATTTTAAAGGTGGAATAGTGTCTGGCAATGAATTAACATCATTATCACTGGGACTTTACCATTACCAGAATCAGTGTCTTCTATACCTCCTGTATTGAAAGTGCTAATTTGGTCCTTGTAGTCTTAATGGATTGGCCTCTGTTATATTATAAAGAATTTCATCAAATTTCTTTACTTGAAGGAACTACTTATATTTGAAAATAGGTTAAGTACATCAAAGATTTCATTTACCACTATGTATAGACCTTTACTGCATTAATATAACTATGGAGATATATATCTTCTTTCTTTCTTTGTGATATTGGACTTGACACTGTTTATATCATTTAAATGAGTTAGATGTTTTACGTCGCCTGGCATTTCGTTTCACTGTTACATAGCAAGTGTTTTTGCAAACATTACGCTCAAAGATAAACAATAGCAGATTATTATTTTTGTTATAAAAATGGGTGGCTGGGAGTAAGTTGTTTAGAAAACTCTCAATTGCTTTTTTTGGGGAAAGTGGATTTCCAGTAATGGAATCTTGTCCTAATGTGATTACTGGTAAGTATGATGATCCAACAAACGTAGCTTCTTTCAACTGACAGTTATTTTGATTATTTAAATCCTAAATTCATTTGAAAGGAATACCTCAAAAGCAAGAAAGGTGACGTTGTTCGATTGTTTCCTGTTGATTTATTAGTGCGATATATCCAACAATAAGATAAAATCTTTTGTAATTGATTTTCGGGATTTCTAATCATAAAAGTACACAAAGTCAAATGTACACTTTTAACAAAATATCCCATGTGTTGAAAAATAGTTTCACAACAAATTGGTTAAAATATCCGAAAATAAGAAGAAACTCGCATAGATGCAGTCAATAGATGGTTATCCTTCTAGATGCAATTATGTTTTGCATTTATTTTGCAGGAGTAATTAAGATTGACAGTAATTATTGTGACAAAGTTTTTCCTTTTATAGTTGAACATAATTCAAGAGATTATTTGGAAGCATTTTAGTAAAATGAGGTAATTAAATAACAGAAAAAATAAAACTTTACCCAATTTCCACCATCATAATCAAAATATATCACAAAATAGATTTAAAGAAGAACGTAAATATCGGAAGGGGAGTTATCAATAAGAAAGTTGTAAGTTTCTAGTAAATTATAATGGCTCAGTTTGCAAAAATAACTTTTCCCGTACTTTCTATTTTGGGTTTTGTCCTATGAAAACTTCTAGTAATTGTAATATGGTCTATTGATCAATCACCATTATCACCAAAGCTTTAAGGATGACGAATTTCAAACAACAAAATTTATCATAGTACTCTTTTCTATTTGTAGCATTTACTTTGTCAAACGAAGCGGAATGTGTACGCCCAGCATCTCCCTCTAACGGCAGAGTTTGGTTTCGTTTCCGAGGTGGTTTATCAGCTATTTTTACATGCAGTACTGGATATGTGTTGATCGGACAGAACGTCTCAAGTTGTATGAATGGCAAATGGAACTATCCACCACCCACTTGTCAGGAAGCAGGTAGGATGTTTGGCTAAATACTAAGCTTACATTTTAACTTGTAGGTAAATAATGTATTCTTGCAATGGCTTACAAAGTAAATTTTATTTTGCTAACTTTCAAACATATTGTTATAAGCTATATTTATAATATTATAA